GTTGAAACTAATTAGGATTGGCTTTTTGGAAACTGAGCTGTAATATGGTTACAAGTTACTTTACAGTTCTAACTACAAAAGGATCTCAAAGTCAAATGATCTGAATTTGCTTCTTCTGTACGTAGAATAAATTATCTAAATAGTTGTCTATACAATAGTGTGACTTTCTCTTCTAAAGAGAAGCAAAGGAAAGTTTTAATACTGTAAACTGACTGACAATGAAAGAAAGTGTATATTATCATACTAATATGAATATTTAGTTTAGTCATAAATTTACCTATGCTCATTCATAATTGTAATCGTTTATTATTATTGACAGTGTATATTTTTATATAGTTATACCTAAAAATGCATACAGAACAGCATCGTTTCTAAAAAACTAAGAGATCGAGTTAAAACGCCGAATAGGTTATTGCGGTTAATTAAGGACAATTTACTGATTAGCAGGAGTACAACAAATAGTATTGCTAACACAATGCGGTAGATATCAGGAATAATTTTAGTTAAACAGAACAATGAAATTCTTGGCAACAATACGACACTGATAAAATCAACATAATATAGCAATACGATGACAACTGTGCAATACTTGCAGCAATATAGTGAACTATACCAAAACATTTAAATACAATGTACAGGCAGCAATATTGTATTATATTTAACGAAAATTATTTAATACCTGACGAAGATGCAGTATGCAATATCGAAATACATTATATCACACTCGATTACATAATAAAACTGCAGTTATTAGCAGCAGTCTAATAAATTGTAGAGAAATAATTCCACAAACAGTCCTATAGTACTATACACATACCCACACACCAGTGTAAGCAAAGAAGCAGAAATACTAGGTATAATACAATGCCAACAACAGAAAGAACAGTACAAGCAGTTGAATAAATAGTACGTAGTAACATATGCAACAACAGATGCAGGAGTGCTAGATATAGGAAAATACAACAAACAGATGCAACAGTACTAGATATACGAGATATTATAAGTAATAGTGCTAGACATAAGGCAAAATTACAAAACGGCTTCTTGCACTAATTTTAAA